TATTATATTTTAAATATATATATATTTTTTTTATTTTATATAATTTTTTTTATTAATATTTAAAATTTTCTTTTTTTTATTTATTATATTAAGAAAATAAATATTATTATTTTTATTTATAAACAAGTTTATATAATTATTTATTTTAGATAATTTAGAACAAATATTTTTTTAAGAATTCAACAATTAACTCTTAATATATTATATAAAAAAAAATCCTTATAAAATTAAAATAAAAATATATATATATAAATAAAATAAATAATTACTAAAACCTAAATATATAAAAGTCTAAAAATATAAATAAAACTAAAATAATAAATTAATTAAATATGTAAAAATTTGGTGGAAATCTATCAAACTTAGCTATAAAATATTTAGAAAATAAGAATTAAATAGCATCTATATTTTCAACTAAATTGCATATATATAATTCCACATCTGGATAATTAATAACCTCATATGATTATCATAATTTTCCAATAATCTAATATCAAATAACCGAAGCATAAGATTAGTAAGAATACGAAATATATACAATAGACAAATCAGGTAAAATAATAGGAGTAGACACCCGTACAAACTAAATTTTTTATAATCATAAAATTTAATTCGATAATTAAGAAAATGAAATAAGCTTAGCTGAATTTAATAAAGAGTGTACAAAATTATATTTTATAGAAAAAAATGGAGACTAAATATAATAAGTCTCTCTTATAAAAAAAAGACAAAAAATATTCCTTAAAAACCCATTATTTATCTAAAATTCAATTTTAAAGATTTATTAAGAAAACAACATCGAATTTATACTTTTAGTAGTCGAAAAAAACCTTTTTATAATAAACATATAAGAAAAAAAACTTCTCAGGACAATAAAACATTCCGAATAAATTACCGCAATTACCAATAATTCCGAAAAAATAGTCATAGGAGATTCTCTAGGAAAAATAACTACTTACATAGACCCTTTTTCCCCAAACATAACCTAAAACCTTTGCAAAATAACCCAACATTGGCACTCTATGCCAGTTCTCAGTCTTACTTTTAACATAGATAACTCTCTACTACTTTCAGGAGGTGAAGAAGGCGTTTTAGTACTTTGGCATTAATTCGAGGATAAAAAAGACTTCTTTCCTCGCCTTGGAAGTTAAATTATCTAAATAGGAAATTCTCCAGATGGTTATAACATAATATGTTCCCTAAAAGAAAATGCAATATGCTTTTTACAAGTAAACAATTTCGAAATTTCATTAAAAATTGAAGGTTTTACAAATATTTTTTCATATTAAAATCTTGGTAATTTTTGCAATAAATTTTCATGGAATAAAAATAGGCAAATATTGGCTTTAAATGGACTTCCGGGCAGTATTCAATTTGTAGACATATTAGAATAGAAAAAAGTCAAAAATTTAGATATAAATATAAGAAACTTGACATCAAAAACTAACCAAATTTAAAAAGCAAATCCTTCTATAGTAAAATCATTTGCATTTGATGATAATTGGAAAATACTAGCTTGTATTACAGAAAGAGTTTCTATATAAAATATATCAATGAGTACACTTAAATTTTTATAAAATGTAGATGGAGATAATTATAAATTAAATACAAGAGTTGAATATCCACATGGAGATAGTATTTTTGAAATTAAAGCGTATTTTAGCATAATAGATAATACTTTAAAGTTTTTGACATACGGAAGTGATAATACATTTAAAATATGGAAAATGTTTAAAAAAAAAGTATTAGATATCAAAGAAGATAATTAAAAATTAGGTTAATATATAAATATTTAAATAAAAAATATATATATATACAAATATATATATATATATATATATATAAATATATATATAAATATTTATTTATTTATCTATATTTTTATATATATATATATATTTTATTATTATTTTTTAAGTGTTTTAGTATTATTGGAGTTGTGAATTTGAAGGATATTATAAAAATAAAAAGATTCTTTCTATATCTCATTATTCAAATGATGAAGATTAAGATATTTTAATTTTTATTGCAGATACAGTTTTTGTATAATGGGTAAAAAAATAAATATATATATATATATATTTATATATGTTTTTTTATAATTTATTTATTTTTATTCATATATAATCTTATATATTTATATATTATATATATATATAATTTTTATTTTTTATTTATAATTAGAATATTACAGTTAATAAAATAATAAAGACATTCGATATATCTTTATAGAATATAACTAAATTAGAAGTAAATAATTAACAAAGTCATTTTTATGTTATTAATGAAAATTCTTTTTCTGTTATTAATTTTTCTAATAAAGTTTTATATTAGTTGAATATTAGTTTAATTATAGATTTTGATTATGAATAATCATTAAATTAAATTTCAATTTTAATTGTTTAATAAAATTCTTCATGTATAGTTTAAATAAATACAACATATTTTTAAATAATTAATGCATTTACAATTTCAAATAGACTTGAAAAAATTTAATATTTATAATTTGAAAATAAGTAATAATATTTTAAATATATATTATATTATTTAATTTTTTAAGGACTTTATTATCTTCTATTGATAAAGAAATGAATGTTTTTCTTTTAGAATAGGATTTTAATATTGAGAATTTCGAATAACTAAGAAAAAATAATGTTGATAATATAAAAGAAGTAAACTAAGAACAATTAAATTCTTAAATATATAAAGCTTAAGATATTAGTTAAAATGATAATTTCTTAACAAATTATCTTTAACATATTAATTATGCGTAAATAATAATATTTTTTTAATAAAAAATAATTTTTTATATTTTTAATAAGATTTAGATACGATTTTAATAATATAGCAGGATTTTTTAATAATAAATCTCATTTAATTCCTAAAAGTTCTATGATATTTAATTCATTTTTTGATAGTTTAATGTTAAAAAACAATTTTTAAGATAATAGCAAAGAAATATAAAATAACTATTCTTCTAAAATGGATTTAGAATAAGAAAAAGAAGTATCTTCTGATAGTGAAAATGATATAGAGTTATGTATATTATAAAAAGATGATAATTCAAAATAATAATAAGAAAATAATTAATAAATTTTAAATGAAATAAATGATAAATGGTTATAAGAAACACAAATATTAATAGAAAATATATTTTCATAAAAATGAATATTTTTATAAAAAAATTAAAAAAATGAATTTTAAAAATTATTTTATTATAATTATCTACAAAAAATAAAAAATAAAAAACATTTAAATAATAAAATAAATTTCAATTAATATTTTTATTTAAAAGTTGTTTTTTTTTTTAATTTTTCAATTAATTTATTTTAACGTTAGGAGAAAATCTCTAAAATTTAACTAAATCATCAACTTTATCCCCTACAAAAATATCAAAATTATTTTTTTAAATAGGTGATTTATTAATTAAATTTATATTTTAATTTATTTATTTCAAAGGGCTTTTTTCAGTAATTTATTTATCATATAATTTATTTTATTTCTATAAAAAAGAACTTTATTTTTACCATTTATTAGAATTTGATCTATTTAAATTATTTGAATATAAATTAGGTTTATAATAATATTTAAATTCTTAATTATTAAAAAGCCTTTCAAAAGCATTTTATTATTTATTTTTATATTATATTATATTTTCGTCCTTTAGTTGTTTTTTATTTTTTTAAATTAGTAAAAAAAATTTACTGTATATTTTTTTTAGATAGAAGAATCCTTTTTTCTTATACACATTTGTTATATTTCTTAGTGTCTTTAAAGAAGTAAAAATTATATTTTTTATTATTTTATTTTTGCTTATTTATATAATCTCTAAACAACCATATTTTGTTAATTAATATTATTATTTTAAACATAACTAAATGATTTGTTTATACTTTGTTAAGATTGTTTTTATTTTATTTATTCTATATGTTTAAAATTTTGTATTATTTACATTTTTTTTTAATTTTTATAAAATTATAGTATTTAATTTATAATGTTTTTTAAATTTATCTATTAAATAAAATATACATAAAAAAAAATATTTTTTGATAAACGATATATTATATATAAAAAATAAATGTAAAATAAAAAAGTAAATAATAATATAATAAAAAAAAAAAATTAAAAAATATATAAATATACATATATATATATATATATATATATAAATATATTTATATATATATTTATATATAAAAAATAAAATTAAGAAAAATAATTAAAATTTATAGTAGTATTTTTATATATATATAATTTTTATAAATAAAAACAAAATTATCTATAATAAATTTATAAAATAAAAAATATAAAAAATATAATTGCATTAAAAATAATAAAAAAAATACTTTCAAATAAATAAAATAATTTTTTATATTTATATAATAGTTCTATATTATAATTAATTTCATGTGTGTAATCTCTTAAATAAATTATATTAAAAAAAAAAAATTAACTTTTAAAAATTTTATATAAAGACATATAAATACAAATCTATCCATATAGCATAGTTAATAAAAATTATTAAATAAAAAGTATTTTATATCCAAAACTGTATTAAATAAGAATATGGAAACACTAATAGATCCAAAAAATGATAGACATGTCAAAACTGTAATTGCACCACCACATAAACCTTTATTAAAAAATTTAATGTGGCCTAATAAAAATAATATTAGTAAAATAAATTCATATATATATTAAAAAAAAAAAAATTCTATTACTTTTTAAATAATAAAAATTATATATATAAAGATAAACCTGATTGGAAATAATTACGAGATCATCTTTCAAAAGAAGGTAGAATTTAAAAAGAAGATTTACTAAAATTAATATTAGAATGCAATAAAATAATGAGTATATATACAAAATTATAAAACATAAGTATCTTTTTAAAAAAAAGAAAATGAATCTAATTTATTAAGTTTATAAGATCCAGTAACAGTAGTTGGAGATATACATGGATAATTTTATGATTTATTAAAAATATTAGAAGTAGGAGGAAATTTATAAAATACAAAATATTTATTTTTAGGAGATTTTGTTGATCGAGGATCTTTTTCGATAGAAGTTTTAATTTTACTATATGCTATAAAAGTATTATAATTATTTGAGAAAAATTTAATTAATATTAAACATATTATATAAATAAAATAAAAGATAAATTATCCTAATACAGTATATTTTCTAAGAGGAAATCACGAATGTCGTTAAATGACTTCATTTTTTAATTTTCGAGATGAATGTAAAATAAAAATTAAAAAAAAAAAAAAAAAAAAAAGGTAAATATAAATATGATTAAGAAGTATATGATATACTAATGGATTAATTCGATTATATACCATTATCATGTATAGTAAACGGTAAATTTTTAGCTTTACATGAAGGTATATCACCAGAACTTAGAAATGTATATACATTTATACTTATATATATTAAAAAATTATTATATAAATATATATAAAGAAATATATATATATATATATATATACATGCATACACATAATATATATATTTATATATTTTTATTTATATATATTTCTATTAATATATTTAGTTAGAAGATATATAAAATATAGATCGTTTTAATGAACCCCCTAGATAAGGTTTTTTTTGTGATATTTTATGAAGTGATCCTGTAGATAATGATGATGGTATATGTGAAAATATATATACGTCTAACGATGTACGTGGTTGTAGTTATTTTTATGGAAACGATGCAGTTCGTTGTTTTTTAGAATATAATAATTTAATTTCTGTTATAAGAGCACACGAGGCTTAATTAGATGGTTATAAAATGCATAGATGGAATGGAGGCAGTGATTTTCCTGTTGTAATTACTATATTTTCAGCACCTAATTATTGCGATGTTTATAATAATAAAGGTGCTGTGATTAAATTTGAAAATAATACTTTAAATATTTAGTAGTTTAATTATACATAACATCCATATTTATTGCCACATTTTATGGACATTTTTACTTGGAGTATTCCTTTTGTATCTGAGAAAATTACAGAAATGTTATTTGTTATTCTTAGATAGGAATAAGATAATAATTCTGATTCAAATGATGGTTTAAACAACGATGAAATTTAATAATTATAAGATTTTTCTAAAAATAATGCTGCTAAATACAATTCTGTAGATTTAGAATTTTCAAAAAGTATATTTTTTATTTTTTTATTTTTAATTGTTTTTTTTATTAGAAGGAGATGTTTTGAGAAATAAAATAAAATTTGTTTCAAAAATGATGAAAATGTAAAAAATTCTAAGATAAGAATCAGAAACTATTGTCAAATTAAAAGGATAGTGTCCAGATAATAAAATACCTAAAGGTATTTTATTAAATACAGATGCTATGAATAATAGTATTAATTTTTTTTTATATATACATTTAAACCATATTTTTTTTTTTAAATAATTAAAATATAACAATAGTTTTAAGTTCATATACTAATGCTAAAAAAGCTGATTTAGTTAATGAAAAAAGGCCTGATATTAATAATACTACTGTTTAAAAATAAAATATAAAAAAATGATTATATATACTTAAATATAATATTTATTTATTTCTTATTAACTATTTAATATTATTGATTATATATTTATTAATTTTATTTATTTTTAATTTTTTTTTTATTTGATAATACAATATAGTATTCTGGTTTAATTTTGTCTTTTATATTTTAAATTTTATTGAATCATTATATACTTTTTTATTATAATATTTATTATTTATATAAATAAGAAAATTTAAAAAAAAAATATATTTTTTTTAATATATAGACATAATTTTATAAGATTTATTTTAAAAATTATATCAAAGAGATAAATAATTAATATAATAAGTTTATGTTCCTTAAGTTGGTTTTTAAAGTTTAGACTAAAACTAAGTTAAAGATTCTTAACTACTATTTATTTATTTACTTAATTATTTTCGAGAAAAATTCTTCTAAAAAAAAAATTTTACAAAGTACTTTTATTTTATTAAAATAAATTATCATTATTTGTAATTTGTTATTATTATTAAGGCTATATTTAATTTAAAATACATGAAATTTAATCTGTAGAAAAACTTTATTAATGAAAAAATGATTATTTTGAATGAAAAAAATTCTAAACTTTTTATTTTTAAACTATATAATTACTATTTTTATGATAATTTCTATTAATTTATTTATTTAATTAATTTTAATATGTCTAGTTTTATAAGAATTTATTATTAATATGATTTTAATCATGATTAAATGAATTTTAGATATAAGAAAATTATTAATTTTATTGGATTAAAATTTATTAATTTTAGTTATTAGAACTTTATTTTTTTTGTAAAGATTACATTTAGTACAAAATATTATTCTTTTAATCTTATTAAAGTTAATATTTGGAAATATTTTCAATTTTTTTTAAAATTAAATTTCTATTTTATTAATAATTTCTTTTTAAACTAGAATATTATTAATTTGCAAAAAAAAAACTAAGTCTTAATTAATTATTATTATATTATTATTATTATTATTATTATTATTATTATTCACAACATTATTTTTACTTACATTATTTTTATTATTATTTTCTTCTATAATATTTTTTTCTTTTATTAAATATAAACTTTATATGCTATAACTCATTTTATTATTATTTAATTACATATTTTGTTTTTATTTTTTTGTATTTAAAAATTGTTAAGTTAACTTTTCTATTTATTCTTCGTAAATATTCTATTATTAAATTAATTATTCATTTAATTCTTATAGAACTTTTTCTAGATATAATTTTTTTTCTTGATCTTAATTAATATTATTATATTGTTCTTTTTCTTCATTTTAAATGGTTTTTTATTTAATTTTTTTTAGTATCTAAAATTTCTAATTTAATAGTTTTTATTATTTCATGTTTTTATTTTTATGATTTTTTAATGATAATAAAATAAAAACAAAATAATATATTTTATAATAAATTTAATTGTATATAAAAAATATTTATAAATAAAAATTAATTTTGAATAATTATTTTAAAAAAATTATTTAAAATACATATATATATATCTTAATATAATAATATATATTCATTAAACTCAATCTTTCGCTAATAAATAATTTTTTATAATAAATAATCTG